CTCCAGCTTCCTCCCACAGTCCAAAGACATGCAGGTTAATTGGTGACTCTAAATTGTCCGTAGGTGTGAATGTGAGTGTGAATGGTTGTCTGTCTCTATGTGTCAGCCCTGTGATAGTCTGGTGACCTGTCCAGGGTGAACCCTGCCTCTCGCCCAGTGTCAGCTGGGATAGACTCCACTTCCTGTGACCCCTAACAGGATAACTGATTACAGAAAATGAAGGAATGACATCACGCTATACCTGAAGCATTTGAAGTTATTCCAAGAAATGACATCACAGTAAGCTGATGTCTCCTGCATAGGGCCACATCTCCTCAATTACTCCCAGAGGTTCACTGAAAACTGAAAACTCAGATACTGACTCTCCTTTTCTCCCTCTTGCCCCCCCCCCCCCCCCCCCCCCCCCCCCCCCCCCCCCCCCCCCCCCCCCCCCCCCCCCCCCCCCCCCCCCCAGCCCACAGCCTCTCCTCCCCTCCCTCTCAGCCTCCCTCTCTCCCCCGTCAGGAGGAGGTGAGTGTTTTCCGTCTGGAGACGTACCTGACAGAGCCGAGGCGTCCAGAGACCAGGAGGCTGCGCTCCTTCTCCTCCCCTCCTGACACTGGACAGCACTCCTCCTCCTTCTCCTCCAGCTTCAAGCCGCCTCCTCTGGCTCCTTCTCTTCCTGTCAGGAGGCTGGTGAGTGAGGCAATCAGTGATCCTCCATGTTTGTTGGCAGTTGTTTGTCTGTGCTGTGTGATGTGACAGGAGGTGAAGACCAGTACAAGCACTGTACTGAAGTACACACTCGAGGTGCTTGTTGTGCGTCATGTGTATCTGACAGCTTTAGTTTAAAAAGATTAAAACATGAAGATGTTCAATTAAAGATTAAAGTCTGCAGCCGAAATACTGATGAAGACTTGGAGATGAAGAGATTATGTTTATCTTCCCACACACCAGTGACAGTCAATGACAGGGGCCTTAAGTTTTCAGGGTGTCTGTCCACCCTGTGGAATTTCTTCATATTTGGCACAAATGTCCACTTTGATTCGAGGATAAACTGATTTGGTTTTGGTGGTTAAAGGTCAAGGTCACTGTGAACTTTTGTGTGTGTCATTCTTGTGAACAGGATATCTCAAGAACAGCTTGAGGGATTTTTTTTTTTCCACATTTGGCACAAACGTCCACTCACACAACGATGAGCTGATTAGGTTTTGGTGGCCAAAGGTCAAGGTCACAGTGACCTTGTGTGTTTCATTCTTGTAGACGAGATATTTCAAGAACACCTTCAGGAAGTTTCCTCAAATTTGGCACCAACGTCCACCTAACAGTCAACTGATTGGAGTTTGAAGTTCAAAGGTCAAGGTCACTGTTACCTTGTATCTGTCTCTTTTTTATAAACGCAATCTCTCAACAACATCTTAAAATTTGGCACAGACGTCCACTTTGAGTCAACGTCCACCTGATTAGATTTTAGTTCTCAAAGGGCAAGGTCAGTGAGACCCCTGTCTGTCTCATTGCTTTGAATGCAATATCTCAGAAAGGTCTTGAGGGAGTTTCCTCAAATTTGGCACAAACTTTTACCCTGCGATGAACAGATTTGATTTTGGTGGTTATAGGTCAGGGTCACTGTGAGCCCATTTGTTGCATTTTTTAAAATCGATATCTAAAGAACACCTTGAGGCAGTTTTTGGCACAAATGTCCACTTGGACTCTAGAACGAACTGATTAGATTCTGGTGGTCGAAGGTCAAAGGTCAGTGTGACCTCACAAAATATGTTTTTGGCCATAACTTAAGAATTCATACACTGATTATGACAAAACTTCACATAAATGTCTAACAGGATAAAATAATGAAGTGATGATGTTTCATATCCAAAAGGTCAAAGGTCAACATCACTGTGACATCATCATGTTCTGAGGCCACATTTTTGGCCATTATTTAATGTCAAAACTCAGGCATACAACGGTAATGCAGTAACAAATGTTGAGGACGACTCGTGTTCACTCCTGAAAAGAGACAAAAATAATCTGACTATTTTTAAGTTTTATACCAAAGGCAGAGGAGGAATTTAAATATCATCACTAATCTTCAAACCTCTTCTTGTTCCACTCTGCTGGAGACGCTTTCACAGGACGAGTGTTACACTGACAAGTCTGCTACATCTGAATCCATCCCATAATAATCTGAGCTGCTCTGATTTCCTGTCAAGGATCCCCACCACCACCGAGTAAAAGTATCTGTCAGTACTCTGGGGGACATCAGGCCTACAGGAGGACAGTGACTCAGTTATATGAGATCGATTATTCTCTGAAGGACACACAGCTGACGGGTTTGTAAAACAAATCAAACATGTTACAGATGTTCTGAAAAAGTTTCCCTCTGTTTAAAAAAATCTCGTCCACACGACCTTCATTTAACAAAATATCTCTGTCCGCACAAAGAAGCCTCCTGACGTCCGCCGGCGCTAAGACATGTAGTTAAATATTATAAAAAGAATTCATGTTTACAAGAGAAGAGGACGTGATGATGATGATGATGGTGATGGTGATGATGATGGTGATGATGATGGTGGTGATGATGATGATGGTGATGATGATGTACTTATTGAACCCTTCCTGTCAGCACTTACAGAGACAGCGCCACACTGTTAATTATTGATCACGTGCTGACTCAGCAGTCATTTCAGATTTCAGCTGATGCATCAAAGATAAACAGTGAGCGGACTGATCCTCGGCTCTCATCGGCTGTTTCCGGTCCCGCTCGGCGCTCCGTTGCTGTCACATTGAAGTAGCGTCAAGTGTTCACACGTAACAACAACGGGACCGGAAATTGTGCTTTCAAAATAAGACATTCACTCACAAAAATAAATGGAAATGAAAGTAAGGATAGCACAAGTGATGAGTTGTAGTTTTATGGCGTGAATATAATTAAAAATATTAAATAGAAGCTGTTTAGAAGAAGCGTTTGTGTGATTCAGCCATTTGAATTAAACTTTAAATCTTTTTATTATCAACAGAAACTGAAGAAAACTGAAGCTTCTCTTTTTTTTTTAAACTTCTTCTTTGTTGTGATTGGGTATGACGTCACTGTCACCTTTGCAAGTTTTGTTTTTTTTGTTGTTCCTGTGTGACCGCGATGTGGCCGCAGGCGTCCTGTTCTTGGGTTCTTGGGTTGTCTGTCTGCGTGTCTCATTCTCGTGAACGTGACGTCTCAAGAACAGCTTAAAGGAATTTCTTCAGATTCGGCACAAACGTCCACTTGGACTCAAGAATGAACTGATGCGATTTTGGTGGTCAAAGGTCAAAGGTCAGTGTGACCTCACATACTCACACACATACATGCTAATAGTAAGGATCGTCAGGTGGTGCCTTGTTCTGTCACTGATGCTCATTTCCAGACAAAAACCCAGAAATAAGTTCATTTGTACCAGAAAGAAGTGAAAATATTTTCGGGCTGCAACTGAGGATTATTTCCATGATGGATTATGGATTTGACTCTCATGTGTGACACAGAAATTAATCAAATTCTCACATTTAAGAAGCAGGAAACCAGCAAATGTTTTATTTAGTACTAACATGACAAGGCCTATATGATGGTCAGTAAAGTTACCATTCTTTATTCTTTACTCTTTATGTAGTTCCCCATTAGCTTCCACAAGTTACAAAACATAAAAAATACATTAATTTAAACCACACAGCGTCAATGAGACGATCACATTCAGTCCAGAGTTAGAATTTTTAAGTAAAATAAATTAAAGCTCTAATGTTTAAGATTAAATAAAAGTTTAATTTTCATTAATAGAGCATTAACAGAGCATCATCACAACAGGTGTGCTTTTGTTGTGACACATCGAACCGGAAGTGCTGCGTGTTAGCTCCGCTAGCTTGTTAGCTGCTTCGTCTCCGGTGGTCGCGGCTGCTTCAACCTGAAGCTGAGCGGCGGACAGCGGCGATCTTTACCGAGACAAGTCGGCCATTTACCGGCAGATCAGGGCCCTGCGGCCGGGCAGAGACACGACATGGAGCCGTGAGGGCTGGAGGGATTCCCGGTGAAAGCTCCAGAGGTGGACATCAGCGCAGAGACTCAGCGAGAGGACCGAAAACAGCGTTCAATGAACGGCGACTGTCAAGTAGGTGCTAGCTAACGTCACATTGCATCAGTCATGGAGCATCAGCAGCCGAAAATCCTCCCAAACAATCACGTCTTCATCCCAAAAATCGTTCCCATCACGTCACGTGACCATTCAGCTCGCTGTCATCACATGTCACCGCCACAGTCACGTATTGATAAACATGACTGATCACATAATGATGCTGCTGCAGAGCCTCCTGTCCTGTTCTCTGAAGACAGGCTCCTGTACATCCCATAATGTCCCAGCTGAGGCCTCGTCTCTGATCATTTCCTGTGTCATCACAGGGGTCATGCTAATTGAACCACCTCTCAGTCATGTTAACCTGTGTGCTGACACGTGACCTCTTAACCACTGGAATTATGGGATTGTCTTTGCTCCCTGTCAGCTGCTGTCACACTCAGCATCAGCATCAGCATCAGCCACATCTGGAACAAATCATGTCCCAACACAAAAACAACTTCAAACAACAACATGCAGTTTCTGATAAAATTCACCAGGTGTGAATGCTCAAGCTGAATGAGTGAAAAGCTGAATGAGTGAATAATACCTGGCACGTCTGAAGGATGTTTGAATGTTTGAATGTTTCTTGAACTGCAGTGTTGGTGTAGATGTGTGTTAGGGATGAGCCTGATTGCACATCTGAAGGATTAAACATCGCCCCCTCGCTAGTCGGCAGTAGTGATGGCCAAATGAAGCCTCATGAAGCATTTTCTTTATTTTATGAGCCCACTAGATGGTGCTTTTGCACAGCAGCAACCGGATCTTTGCTCTCAAACCACAAATAATGTGATTGCACAACAGTCTCCTTCAGTACATTATTCTATGCTTTCTTTTGATTTTCACATTGGCTAGTCATCCTGTTTAATTTGTCTTCTGATTAAATCAGAACCGTTGAAACAAGTTGTAGGAAGCCTCTGCAAGTAACTGGTTGCTGGCAGACACTCTGTGCTGCAATAAAATGGTTAATCAGCAGTGCCGTGCACTGTAGAGCCGATGCGCTGCTGGTTCTGCCGGCCTGAATAGAATATAATGTCTATAGCCTTACTGTTGTGTACAGCCTTATAGACTGAGCTGAGTAGTGATGTGCGGGTCGACCCGTAACCCGCGGGACCCGCAAATGGACCTGTGGGTCGGGCAGCAGTGATCGTCTGTTAAATCGGTCTGTAAATGATATTTTGACATTATTGGCTATTACTGTCATGGCATCCGAAGGTACTGATGCGTTGAGCAGGTGACAGTCCGCGGTCGTTTTCAAAACACACTTGTGTCACGCACTCCAAAAGAAACTTGTTGAAACTTTAAACAATAATTTATTGTACAAAACGGGGGAAACAAACGTTGACAAAAACGGTTCCATAATTCATATTAAATTCAAAAGATAACGAAAAAACAGCTACAAGTTAGAGGGAATAGTGATAAAGTGGTAAAACTTGGCATTGATCCACAGCCTCAGACGGATGCGCTCAAGCGTGCCGTGCGCACAAGCTCAGTTGGTAGGCTATACTATATTTTCACATTTTTAACAATGCAATTTAAAAGTTTTGATTTTTATTGATAACCTACATTTACCAACAACAAAAAGACTGCATTTAGCACCAAAAAAATATGTTAAAAAAAAACAAAACAAAACAAAAAAGTAAATTAAAAAAAATGAATATCGAATACCAAGTTTTCATAACGAATACCTACCCATAGAAACGAATATTCGAATATCCAAATATTTGGGTACAGCCCTAGTCACCGCAAGGTTTGGGGCAGGGAAGGTTTCTGATTGGATAGGGGGCGGGGCGGATGTTACGTGTTTATGTTTACCGGAAGAAAACACTGTAGTCCTCGCTCCGGATAACAAGATGCTTGACGACGCCGTTCTTAGTGCCTTTTTCGGGCTTGTTTTGCTTATATTCTTGAAGCAGCAGTACGACAACAACCTTGTTCTGCTAATGCTTCGTCTGTTGAGGAGGAGAAGGGAGGTAGAAGGTCCAAGAAGGGAGATAGAAGACCGTGCTGTGGCGAATGGAAACCGGTGAGTGCAACGAGTCCGACTGCTCTATCTCAGCCCGTTGCTATGTGCACTATATACGTCATGGCGCCAGAAGGGCAAGGAAACGAGCATGTGCAGAAAGACCGGAATGAACTTAAAGAGGAATGAGTGTATACAAGTGTGAGAAATTCTTTCATTGGGAATTATAAACGCAATATTCCAGCCCCTTACATCGGATTGATTTTTCAATTGCATTGGCCATTTTCAGTCTGAATTAGGTGTTTACAAGATCACTTTTAATAGGAATGAACTTTGATTACGAATGAAAAGGGAATTAAGCTGTCCATGTAAACGCACTCAATGACCTCACAAGATATGCTTCTACTAAGTTGACTGTAAAGGCTTCAGGAGGTGAACACAATATGTTGAGCCCAATACTTAACAATAAATTGTGCTCAGTTTGGACTGTTCTCTGAGTGTTTTCCTTTTTTTAGACGAGTCAGCTAGTCTTGATTAAAGTTTTCGTTTACTCGCCACGAACATCCCTGATGTGTATGATTGTCATTGAGTAGTTGAATGATACCAGTACTGTTGAATATTTGAAGGAACAGCGCTCAGCTACGACCATTTCTTAAAGACGCAGAGAAAGTGATTGATGTCTTTATTTGAAGCCGACTTGACGACTGTGACGCACTTTTTACTGAGCGACTTGAGCTGAACCAGAACCAAGAGGAGAGAGCACATCAGGCTGATCTGAGCTGCTCTGCTCTGACTTCCTGTTACATTTACAATTGATTTTAAGCTCCTCCCCCTTGTATACAAAGCCCTACATGGGCTGGGACTGAGCTACGTCGCTAACTCTTGTTAACTCTTCACCTCCAAGAACACTGCGATCACCTGCTGCTGGTTTATTGGAAGAAGATCGAGGATGCAGCGTTTGTCAGTGACGCCCCAAAGCTATGAACACATGACCTACAGACATCAGAGAAGCTGCTCGCTAAATATGTTCATCTGTTCACGTTAGCCTTTAAGTGGCTGTGACTCTCCTCATACAGCTCTGACACTCTTGACGCGTCACGCTGCTGCAGCTCTTTTGAAATCATACTTGATTTTGTGATGTCATTGTTTTACCACTCTGTGGTTTTATGATTTAATGATTGTACGATTCATAGTTTTGCTTCTGTCTGTGTACTGAAGATTTTGGATGTCCTTTCATAGTGAAAAGTCTTGTTGGCCTGTTTTATGTTCATTCTGTCTGTTTAATATGTGAATGATGCCTCAGTGTGAACAGTTGAGACAAAACCTTACTTCTTTGGGGTTTTTGTTTTTTACTCTTCAATCAGTTAATGTGTTTGAAAAGATCAAAGTCTTTTCTGTCTGTTAAACCCTGTGAGGGACCAGCCTCCCAGAGATTTAATGTCATCCTGAACATCATACCTGATGGGGGTCAGATGTCAGATCTGACCGAGTCGACAAAGTTATATACTTTCTAATTTCTCAGCAGTCAAAGTGAGGAGCCATCTCATTTTTAAAAGTTGCTCAGAATTCTCTGAATGCTGATAAAAATGCTTATTTCAAAACCATAGTTCTTATTAAGTTTGGATTTATAGGAGCCACAGAGTCGACCTGCTACGGTTGAGACACACCTGATTGCAATATTTTATAATGAAGTTATCAAAAAACAGAAATGTTACCGGTACCTGAGCAGCATTCACAGAAACCAGGAAGTGAGACAGGAGTTCGTGTGACGTAGCTAACGTCTCTTACGCCTGATTAGAAGATGTTTCATCAAGACACGTCTTCATAGATCCACCATCTTCATAAGGAATAATCTCTTTCAAACAAAGATGATTATTAGGGCCGTAACGGTACATGTATTTGTGTCGAACCGTTCGGTACGCAACTTTCGGTTTCGGCACGACCCTGTACCGAATTATTGGGCGCAGGATATTATTTTATTTTGTTTTATTTTAATTCTGTTTTTGCGAGCCGAACCATTTAAAATATCTAGTTCCCCGACGGACATAATTGAGTGACGCACCGAGTCCTGTAAATCTCCGCTTTCACTTTGTGCATGGTGTGGGTTAAAATGAAAAAGAAAGTGACAAACACATAAGCCATGAGCCTGCTCCGCCTCAAGCCGGTCGCGGCGCACCATACGCCCGCCGCGAGCCGTTCACCACCGTGGACAGTTGGACTAATGGGATGTCGAACCAATGACATGGACCCCATGGCAAGTGAGCCTGACGAACCTGAAGACCCATCTGCAAACCTTAAGTCCTCCGTTTGGGAACACTTTGGTTTCAGGGTAAAATACGAAGATGGAAATAAACAAGTTGACAAGACAAAAGCAGTGTGCCGACACTGCAGAACAGCGGTCGGGTATGTACTTGGAAACACGTCTAACATGCTAACGTATCTAAAGCGACACCACCCGAGTTTGAACGTTAACCGGCACGACTAGAAAAATCAATCTGGTGCAAACTACGATATCGTCGTCGTTTAAAAAGAAAGAGCGTTTCCCTGACCATTGCGCTAAAGAAATAATCAGCGCCACTGGAGTTGAGTAAAATTGTTTAAGCTGCACTTCAGATATAAGCATGTTTTGTTTACTGCACTTTAACAAAGTGGGAAAGCTAAGTAAGTTCCTAGTAAAACTGAATCTGAGCAGGCTTTAAAGCTGACCAGCTGCACTATACTTTTTATTTTAATTGAGTAAAACTGTTTAAGCAGAAATGTATATTTAAAATGTGTTAAAAAACAGCAAGATTTTAATTTTCACTTTTATATTTCTATTTTCATTCAAACAATGTGAAAAAGCAGGATTTTATATATATTTGTTTCATTCAAAAATTGTGTAAAAAGAGTTAACTGCTGTGGTGGTATGTTTTAATAAGGTTACCAATAAGTAAAAGATATTTAATAGTTGTCTATATTTTCATTATTGTACCGAAAAAAAACGAACCGTGACTTGTGTACCGAGGTACGTACCGAACCGAGATTTTTGTGTACCGTTACACCCCTAATGATTATAGTGACACATGTGGACGCTGATGTTTTCAGTTCAAACTGTTAGTTTTAGATTTTGAAGTTGTGAATTCGGAATTCTGGGACGAGGCTGTTTTCTGACACAGTTGAGTTAAAAAATTAAAGCAGATCAAAATATTTTATTTGTTAAATGAATAAATCCTTTATTGCATTAATTTGAAAGCACCTTACTGTCTCCTGCCTGTATGATAGTAACACAATCAGGGGAGGCTCTGCTGTGTTGCAGCGGTGGGGAGCAGCCTCTCTGCTGCACACTATCTCCGGGAAAATCTGAGACGCTGAGCGGAGTGGCGCAGAGTTTCTGAGGTGTTATTTTGGTTCAAGTTGTTTGATGCTGCAGGGTGTCGTCAATCAGCCGGTCTGGTTTGTTAACGTCACTGCTGATCGCTGCTTCGCCTCGTTAACGTTCGTCTCTGGGTGACAGCTTTGGAAGTAGTCACAACATAATTAATGTTCGGCTTGCAAATTTAATTATTTAGACACTGAATTAAAACGAGCTCAAAACTGCTTTTGTGAAGATGAATTTAAGTTAACGCTGTCGTGTCCGCGCTGTTAGCTGTGCAGGCACTGCATCGTTGAGTTCCGCCTCTTTAGTTCTATCAACATCAAGTTATTAACAAACATTTAGATAATCAGTTATTGACTTTAGTGAATTGATGCCCAGTTGTCCATGTCTGCATCACGATGATTCAAAAAATTGATTTTTTATTTATTTTTTGGTAGGACAGTTTTTTCAGTTCTCTAGAATGTGTGAAAGCAGTTGGTGCTGTATGTCTTGTGTATGACAGATGCTGTTTAATAAAGATTATTATTATTATTATTATTATTATTAATTCCACTGTGTATTTACTTTTCTATTACATTTTCTTTTTAACTTATTTTGATGAATTTTTAATTGTTTGAGTGAGTGTAACGCTGACAGTCAGACATGTGGACGTTGTTGCTGCTCAGACTGTGATCCTCTAGTTTACTGATGGTGTGATGTTGTCGACAGGTGGAGGTTGCAGACGGCATGTCGGAGCAGCCGGACCCCGATGATGCTGGTAAGACTCTAAACTGTTGATACTGCCCTCTCATTGGTTCTCAGACAGGAAGGGACTTTGTTGGGGACTATATTCAGTGGCGGATTCATGTGTCAGCAGGACAGTGTGTGTCGGAGTCAAAATAAACTACAGTGTGTGTGTGTTCATGGTAATGAAGAATCAGCAGTTTGTTGTTTTTGCACAACAATGGAGCGCTTTGGAGAACAGAGGTTACCAGAATAACTTCCTGACACTGTGACCTCGTCTGTCTCATTGTCGTGAGCCTGATGTCCCAGGAACACCTTGAAGAGATGGTGTTTGGAAGTTACAGTTTAGGTTCTGCAAAAAACACTTCTCTGTCCATTAGTCTGCGTCATATCTCAGGAACAGAGGGGGAGACATTTGGTCAGATACTGAATTGATGTGTGAAGCATCCATGTTTTCACTGACATGGATGTAAACTGGAACTGCAACTTAACTGGTTCATGGGGGCAACCGACCGCGATAATCCTAAATCAAGGAACCTGAAGTCACTTTGTGGTGGAATTCCCCTTTAATTAAACACACACACACACACACACACACACACACACACACATACACAGTCACTAAGGGCCAAAACACACCAGTGGCGAATGCTGGACGTCAAAAAATACGCCCCCATTATTTTCAATGTACAAGTCCACTCTGGTGGTGGTTAGATGTGTGTTGAGGCTCCTGGATGCTCCACCGCCGCGGCTCTCCCTTAGCATCTCTTCCTCTCTGCTCCTGTAGCAGCTCTTCTTCTCTGCTCCTGTAACAGCTCTTCTTCTCTGCTCCTGTAGCAGCTCGACTCCTCTGCTTGCCATGGATGTATGAAGAGAACTCTGTAGCTGTTGCTGTGTCTCGTGTGTGATGAAGAGTGGATGAAGAGAGACTCGTTTAGGGCGAGAAATATCTCGAGCTGAACGACCCACAGTCCATTCATTATACACACAATTGCCAAAAAGCTACTTCCTGTTGAGTCATTGCTCTGGAGATCGGCTCTTCAGGTGAGACAACAGCTTTAATTAGGGGCTGTCCACACAGGGTTGAAGCTGATGTAGAGGAGGAGGAAGTTCAGACCTGTCAGTAAGAGTAGTAAGAACTTTGTGTGGTTGACGAGCTGCAGCGTGACACGTCACATGATACGCTGTGTCCCAGCAGCGCCCGTGGCTTTTCAGCTTTTGGCTGTGTGACAGTGAACATGAAGGACAGACAGACAGACTCTGACCTTCATCAGTCTGATGATGTAGACACAGACTGAGGTATAATCCTGCAGCTACAGGACCCAGGACCTAAATCCAGAGCGCAAGGGATTATGGGTACTGAGACTGGTACTGTGACCTGTTACATCACTGATCAGCATCTTTGATGAGTCACAGCTGTTCCACGTGTCGTCTCCAAAAGCCCTCTTCCTCCTCTTCCCATGCTTTGCAGCATGAGTGTCACGGGCAGATGTTGAGCAGCCAGCTGTGTGTGTTGTCATGGCAACAGACAGCTTAGAGACAAGCTCAGTTGAGTGGGATGTTGAAGTCACCGTGGCAACTGACCCGCAGAGATTAGACAATCACTGTTTGCTCTCCCTTTCTCTGCCTGACTCGGCGGTTTACAGGTCTAACCACACAGGAAGTGATGTCACTGTGTCTCATGGTTCGGGGCGGTTTGGAGGACTTGGTCCCAGTTTCTCTGAGTGGGTTCACAAAGATGTTCATATTGTAGTTCCAGTCAGTCAGTCAGACGCCTTCCTGTCCGTTAGCTGATTGGTTGGTTGGTTAATATCTTGTTGATCTCTCATAAGGCCACCACGTGTTTGGAATAAACCAAAAAATGACACCAGGAAATAAATGAACATCTCATGTGTAAAAGCAGGAAGAAGCAAAGTGCTTGTTTCCATCCATCAGTCAGTCTCATAGACCAGCTCTGCGCACACAACCGAACCACTGTGTTCATGCTCGTCATTTATGATCGACGACACTGTCAGCGTGCTTCGTATTCCCCTTCCTCATCTCTGTACCTCCCAGAGATGATCTTTTTATACATCTTTTCAAACTGTCTGATATTTTCTTGTTCGTTCCCCACTCAGCACGGCAGGTAAAATGAGTTCACCTGGTGGAGGTGAGCTGTTTGTCTGCAGCTTTGCAGCTCCCAATGAGAGGCTTTCTGTCAGAGACACCTTTCTGTCAGAGACACCTTTCTGGAAGAAATCTTTTCATTTTAACCAAAACCATCATCTTTTTTATAAAACTTCAGGACCATCTGTCTCAAAGTCCTGAAGACAAACTTGTGTCTTAAAGTCCTGAAGACAAACTTGTGTCTTAAAGTCCTGAAGGCAAACTTGTGTCTTAAAGTCCTGAAGACAAACTTGTGTCTTAAAGTCCTGAAGGCAAACTTGTGTCTTAAAGTCCTGGAGACAAACTTGTGTCTTAAAGTCCCGAAGACAAACTTGTGTCTTAAAGTCCTGAAGGCAAACTTGTGTCTTAAAGTCCTGAAGACAAACTTGTGTCTTAAAGTCCTGAAGGCAAACTTGTGTCTTAAAGTCCTGAAGACAAACTTGTGTCTTAAAGTCCTGAAGGCAAACTTGTGTCTTAAAGTCCTGGAGACAAACTTGTGTCTTAAAGTCCTGAAGGCAAACTTGTGTCTTAAAGTCCTGAAGACAAACTTGTGTCTCAAAGTCCTGAAGGCAAACTTGTGTCTTATAGTCCTGGAGACAAACTTGTGTCTTAAAGTCCTGGAGACAAACTTGTGTCTCAAAGTCCTGAAGGCAAACTTGTGTCTTAAAGTCCCGGAGACAAACTTGTGTCTTAAAGTCCTGAAGACAAACTTGTGTCTCAAAGTCCCGAAGGCAAACTTGTGTCTTAAAGTCCCGAAGGCAAACTTGTGTCTTAAAGTCCTGGAGACAAACTTGTGTCTTAAAGTCCCGGAGACAAACTTGTGTCTTATAGTCCTGGAGACAAACTTGTGTCTTAAAGTCCCGAAGACAAACTTGTGTCTCAAAGTCCCGAAGGCAAACTTGTGTCTTAAAGTCCCGGAGACAAACTTGTGTCTTATAGTCCTGGAGACAAACTTGTGTCTTAAAGTCCTGAAGACAAACTTGTGTCTTATAGTCCTGAAGGCAAACTTGTGTCTTAAAGTCCTGGAGACAAACTTGTGTCTCAGAGTTCTGAAGACAAACTTGTGTCTCAGAGTTCTGAAGACAAACTTGTGTCTTATAGTCCTGAAGACAAACTTGTATCTTAAAGTCCTGGAGACAAACTTGTGTCTTAAAGTCCTGAGACAAACTTGTGTCTTAAAGTCCTGAGACAAACTTGTGTCTTAAAGACAAACGTCTCCAAACAGCCATAAAACAACAGGATCATTTAAAACAAGTCTCAAACTCAGCTCAGTAACAACTGTCAGGGTTCACAGACACAACTGTTGTTTTATTCTAGTCACCCATTATTAGCTTTAGCATGTTTACATTACATAAAGTGGTGAACATGACACAGTAACATAAAGCACAGACTGAACTGTCTGCAGCTGAAAATGAGCAGTGATGGTGATGATGATGATGATTATTACATGTTTCCTGTTTCCTGTGCAGCGTCAGCCGAGTCAGAGAGAGACATCTACATGCGCTTCATGAAGTGTCACAAGTGTTATGACATCATCCCCACCAGCTCCAAACTGGTGGTGTTTGACACCACACTGCAGGTGAGACACTGTTGGGACGTCCACTCATTTCTTCCTCTGACATGTTAACAAGACACCCTGAGTCTGAATTATACTGTTTCTATCTCTGTTACAATAAACTTTATTAAAGGAAACAACAAGCACATCAGTAATGGAGCTCCAAATTTCTGAACAACATTTCTGTTGCATAAGAACTTCACGGGGCGGCAATGATTGTTCCAGGTATGAGGTAAACCCTCAGGTGTTACCATGGAAACAGAGTTATGCAGTCCTTCCAGGATCCCGCCGCAAAAAAACCCTTGAAATTGCTGCCAATTTTGTCAAAAAATGCGATAAAAATTGCTGCATTTTTATGTGATTTTGTTGCGGGACATTGCAACTAATGACAAAAATTGCAAGTCAGGAGAAAAAAAAATGTGATTTTTTTTTTTTAAACTACTGGCTCCAAAAAATAAGTCATGTAATCACTCATTCTGAATATTACAAAGACAGCTGCACATATTTCAGTTCTCTTATTTAGTTTTATTTAATTATTTTCAAAATATGGACTCTAATAATGTTGCAAAAAAACCCTGAGTGAATATCGTAGCTGTCAAACCAGACAAGGTGACTGTAAAACAACGTGTCAGCTACATCTTCTGTTAACATAACATTTTAATAAATTCAGCACATATTGTCTTTTAAACAAAGTGCAAATTCTTACGTCAATACAGAGCGTTTCTCCATACTGCAATGCCATTAGCGCAATTTGGTGAAGACGTCTGATGACGTTTCAAAAAAATCACTGGACTTTTGAAAAATTGTAAGCCCCTGCAAATATTGTGGACTTTCATTGAATTTGCATTAATTATTGTGTTTGCACAATCGCGATTTTTCTGGAGGGACTGGTTATGGCTTGTGAAAAAATTTAGATTTTGACTGTAAAAAGCACAAAAAGTAATGAATATTTTTACTTTCTTTTTCTTTGGTAAGTGACCGCGGTATGAGCAGGATGATGCCCTTCAGTGTGTCCATTATCACATTTTAATGGTCGACGTAGAGGCTTGACCCGTCTGGTGTAGAGGAGGCTGTTTAAAAGTGAGAAGGACACCTTGAAGGGCATTATCCTCTCCATATCCATTGAGTCTGGCGATGTTTGAACAAACTAAAGGCCATTGTGCCCCCCACTGACTGACTTCAAAATATTTTTACACACCGGGTTCAACGCTGTTATGAAACATATCCTGCAAGTTTTGTGATGATTGGACAGTTTCTGATTTAAAGTCTGATTTGTGTTATACCACGCCCAATTATGCACTTGTGGCGCCCCCTAGTGTTCAACGAGTGAATGAATCTTTCAGGATATGTTGCTGCAGTTTTCATGATGAGTGGCTCAGCAGTTGTGGAGTTTGGTCTATTAATGTGCTGAGCCACGCCCCCTCTAAAGTTCATTGGTCGGTATCCTGAAAACGCAACGAGATATCCAGCGATGATCTACAGAACATTTGGTACAACCTACGGTTTAGGAGGAGATGTCAAAAATGTGTTTAAAAAATTCTAAATAATGTAAAATCTAGTCTGGTGGACCTTTGTGTTTTTTTTATAGATCAGTGGTTCCCGACTGGTCCAGATTTCCCCTCAGTCACACAGTTTATATAGTTAGTGTCTTACAGGTGTTCCGACATGTCGTCCAGCTGGTTTGTTGTCTCTGCCAAGCAGCTGTCTGTTAGTCACTCACTTTACAACTCTACTCTCCTCTGTGCCGGAAATTCGCTGTACTCAAAAATAAAGTGTGTTTTTACAAACTTGACATGTTGGCGAGTCACTTGCCGTCCGTTCAGAATGGACCTGTGACCCACCTTTGGACCGCGACCCACCAGTTGGGAACCATTGTTGGGCATGGTCTTTCCAAAACTGAATTTTTGGGCTTTAATTATAGCACCCCCTTGTGGCTGATTGCCGTCGTATTTGTTGAGGACAGAGGGCAGAGGACAGAAAGACAGGAGGACAGAGGACAGGATGAAGGAATGATACTGGCTAATGTCCACAGTCAGTATGATGATGTCAGGAATATGAGTTGTGTTATTGACCATCATAGTTTCCAGTTATATCATGAAGTTTATACAGTGACACTGATGCTGCTCTACACACAACATGGAGTTATATTCATGATATTCAGCTCTAATCATCCTGTCTGAAATCATCCCATCTGATATTATCCTGTCTGAAATCATCCTATCTGAAATGACCCCATCTGAAATCATCCTGTCTGAAATCATCCCGTCTGAAATCATCCTGTCTGAAATGACCCCATCTGAAATCATCCTGTCTGAAATCATTCCGTGTGAAATCATCCCGTCTGAAATCATCCCATCTGATATTATCCCGTCTGAAATCATCCTGTCTGAAATCACGCCATCTGAAATCACGCCATCTGAAATCATCCTGTCTGAAATCATCCCATCTGAAATCATCCTGTCTGAAATCACGCTATCTGAAATCATCCTGTCTGAAATCATCCCATCTGAAATCATCCTGTCTGAAATCACGCTATCTGAAATCATCCTGTCTGAAATCATCCCATCTGAAATCATCCTGTATGAAATCATTGTCTGATATCATCCCATCTGAAATCATCCCGTCTGAAACTCATAAACTTTTTAAACAGCTCTGATGTAATGATTAAACAGAATCAATAACCAGTATCAACCAGAGTGACAGCCCATCACTGCTGGTGACTGATGGTCTGTTAGGTCATTATTAAACTAGGTGGTGCAGTTCCACCATGACTTCCTCTGTTGATAATATTAATAATAATATTGTTGTTGTTTGTGTTCCAGGTGAAGAAGGCGTTCTTTGCTCTGGTGGCAAACGGAGTGAGAGCTGCTCCTCTGTGGGAGAGCAAGAAGCAGAGCTTTGTGGGTAAGACTGTGTGTGTGTGTGTGTCAGTGCTATATTTAGCCGTGCTCTCTGAGTCTTTGTGAATATTCTAACAGCCTGAGGAGACGATGGGATCAAACACACACACACACACACACACACACACTGTGTGTCCGTGTTGATGTTATAAACCTCTGTCTCTGTTTTACAGGAATGTTGACCATCACAGACTTCATCAACATCCTGACCAGATACTATAAATCCCCCATGGTAACACACACACACACACACACACTGTGACATCATGTCTGATTGGCTGACACATTAGTATCCAGGAAACAGCTGAGACAGAGCAGATATGAAACAGCAGGTGTGACGTCAGAACTCATGGGATCACCGTCGGCCATCTTACCTGGTCTGGTTCCCAGTGACCACCTGATGTTTGACCATCAGGACCAAAGCGTCACGTCTCCACAGAGTGATGACGCATCGTGTGTTGTCAGTGACCCAGGTAGCTTCACTGTTATCCAGCAGCTGATTGGTTCCCTGTTGGTCTCATTGACGTGGACACGGTTGTGTCCAGGACCGACAGGTCATCCTGACATGTCACATGTGGCGTCTCATATCTGTGACTTTCGGCGAGGACGAGTAGACGGACAGCAGTGTTAACGTGTGTTCCCTCCTGCTGCAGACTCTTTTTGTCCCTCCAGCAGAGCCGTACTGTGAGTTTGACTGTGTGTGTGTGTGTCTCCGTCAGGTTCAGATCTACGAGCTGGAGGAACATAAGATTGAGACGTGGAGAGGTACGAACTCTAAATTCAGATGGTTGTGGTGATCACAGTGGTGAGTCAGTGATGTCATCATCATCTTCATCATCATCTTCATCATGTGTTTTCTGACAGAGCTGTACCTGCAGGAGACCTTCAAACCTCTGGTCCACATCTCACCTGACGCCAGGTACGTCTGTACCTGTCTGTACCTGTCTGTGTGTCTGTACCTGTCTGTACCTGTCTGTACCTGTCTGTGTGTCTGTACCTGTCTGTACCTGTTTGTGTGTCTGTACCTGTCTGTGTGTCTGTACCTGTCTGTACCTGTCTGTGTGTCTGTACCTGTCTGTGTGTCTGTACCTGTCTGTGTGTCTGTACCTGTCTGTACCTGTCTGTGTGTCTGTATCTGTCTGTGTGTCTGTACCTGTCTGTGTGTCTGTACTTGTCTGTGTGCACAGAGTTTGATTTACTCTTTACTGATTGATTTATTATCTTCTGAAAATATACTGAGGAAAGGAGACAAGAAGAGGAAACTGGGAGAGGAGGAGAAGGGAGAGTAAATAAGGAGAGGAAACAAGGAGAGTGAACCAGGGGAGGAAAGGAAACAGGGAGGTGAGATGAGGTGAGAGGAGAGGAGAAGAGAAGGGGAACAGGGAGAGGTGGGGAAAGAGGAATGAGGGACAGATATGATCCAGACAGAGCTCAACAAATATTCCTGTCCCCCCTCCTGTCTCTCCACCTGTCCCCCCTCCTGTCTCTCCACCTGTCCCCCCTCCTGTCCCTCCACCTGTCCCCCCTCCTGTCCCTCCACCTGTCCCCCCTCCTGTCTCTCCACCTGTCCCCCCTCCTGTCCCTCCACCTG